CAAAGACCCCTCAGTGCTGGAACTGTTCTTCCACACCAGTGAGGACCAGGGGGCTGCCAACTTCCTCCTTTTCTCCCTGCTCATACCATATACACACAGGTAAACAAACACAGGTACTTACAGAGTAGACTATAAACATACAAATATATGCAGACACTCAAACTATACTAGAGCACACAGTGACACACTGACAACCTTTCTTGTCGCTCTCTCCAGACAGGGCTCCATCGGTCAGCAGGCCAGAGATGCTCTGCTGCTCATCATGTCTTTGTCAGCCTCAGAGCCTCGAGTCGCTCAGCACATCACCGAGAACACTTACTTCTGTCCTGTGAGCGCCCAAATACACACGCATATGAACTAGTGCCTGATAACACGCTGCCAAAATGTCCCTGGAGCGAGGGACGTGCCGTCTGCTGCTCATCATGTCTTTGTCAGCCTCAGAGCCTCGAGTCGCTCAGCACATCACCGAGAACACTTACTTCTGTCCTGTGAGCGCCCAAATACACACACATATGAACTAGTGCCTAATAACACGCTGCCAAAACATCCCTGGAGCGAGGGACGTGCCAATTCACATTCAGGACAGACAGCGTGTATCCATCACTAAACCTTGACTGTTCGTTCTAAGATTACTAGGAGATGATGACATTGCTCTGAGTCTACTGGCAGAAGACACGGTCATCTCATGTCTGCTAGTCACAGAAATGTCAAGGATTTGATCAGGGTCAGTCTGGCTCAGTAGAAGTGGCTCACAGAGACCAGACCACTGGCTAAGTGGTGCATTCTTAAATTAAACAAGAGGTGATGCTACTGAATAAAACAGAGAACAACACAGAGTAGAGAAGCTGGAAAAACAGCAGAGTGGCTGTATGCAGCAGTGTCATGGAGCTGAGAGACACCACACCCTGTCCCATTGTCACTAGGTTTATCAGACAGTGTGGAAAATCTGAGTTAATGCACCTGTAAGATCCTAAGTCCATTCATTTCCCTTTTGCATTGTAATCTCATTATTCCATATTATGTAATTACCTGAGGAGCTCACACTGCTTCCTCTGGGAGTATTACTGTGTAATGCTAATAATGCTAGCATGTATAATGCTAACATGTAGGTATAGTGTTTACCATGTTCACCTCAGTTTAGCATGTTAGCATGCTAACATTACTAGTTAGCACTAAACACAGTACATCCTTGGCTCATGGCAACGAGTTATAGTTTTCACAATATGTGATCACAAACCAAAGTATTAATACAGGGACACTCATGGAAAACCCTTAATGTCAAGAAAAATAGCAAAAGCTAGAACAAATAAAAAATCAACCAATCAATTGAAAAAAGTAAAAAATGCTAATTAAAAACATCTTAAAGACAGTAAAACAACAACATGTTTTATTTTCTTAAGTACTTCAGGTACTACACTCGCTGTGTTGGCTACGCTGGGTCCATCAGTGCCAGTTTTGAGAGTAAAGACATTTTAGCATGTGCCACCTGTGTGTCAGATTTAAGCCCATGTGACCAGGCTGTAACCTCAGTCCTTATGTAGAAAGCAGATTAGTGAATCGCTGTGAGACTGGCTCATGCACAGATTAGTAAGTCTTTACGTGATTGGACGGTTGCCTGAGTGTTACCGAGACCTGAGACTGCAGCTGTTTGAGGGGCCACAGCTACTATTCATGTTGATGATAAAGATCTTTTTCACCTTATTTCCTTCCTCTTTCTTCCACTCAAGTGTTTCTCTTCTCCCTTAATAAAGAAGTACTTGAACTGAAATGTGAGCCATGTGCGCACAAGAATAACAACCAGGTGGTGTGTGTGACGGTCAAATGGCCCAGCTTCCTCCCAAACCACTGGGTTACGATATGTTCCTCCCAGTTTGGCCTGATCAGAAGCTTCTCCATAAACGTCCACCGCATGTGAAACATCCTGGTCTCTCCACTGACCCCGTCGCTGTCGTCGCTCTCCTCCATGTTTATTGTTACCAGTCTGTGAGGGGCCGATGCCGAATGATGATGACAGGCCATATGTGCAGGCAGAAACATTAAAACAACCACATGGATTCTGACCTGACCGTTCTGACAGCGCTGCACAGTCAGAGGTCAGAGAGGAAACGGGTCTAGGAGGTCAGAGAGGAATCGGGTCTAGGAGCCCAGATCTGGTCTGGTGTGTTCACACTGCTGTGGACACATCAGTTCACTTCCTGTCACTCCTCTGTTTATATATGCCAACACTCTCTGCCATGTACTGTATAAACACACTAATCTGTTCTGGGATTTCCACAGAGCCTGTGTTGTAACACTGTGTCTGTCTGTACCTATTGTAAAACCACTAGCAGAAGAACTAACCTGAAGCTGTGCGTTCACAGGTGCTGGCCACAGGTCTGTCCGGTCTGTACTCGTCTCTTCCAGCCAGGCTGCAGGTTTACAGTGAAGACTGGTACTGTCTGGACCAGGACGACTGTCAGCAGGTAACCTTGACACCCACACAGTGAGTGAGTCAGGTAAAAATGGAAGGACAGATGTTCCCTACCTGTGTAGACCTACACGTGATAGACTGGACAGCATGGCTAACAAATAAATGAAACCAAAATGTGTGAACTAATACATCTAAATGAATCAAAATACTGGTCAACTGAAGTGATTTGTGATGAATAAATGTGAATGTTTGACTAAGTGAGAAAATAAATGAACAGACACATGGACTGATTAAATATCTGAATGAATGATTGACATCTTACCTGATGTTTGGGTCGACAGGTTCCAGCCCTCGTCCACTTCCTGCACTCACTGGACTTCTGCAGTGCTGTTACCAAGGTACACACAAAAACGTTAAAAATAACATAAGTTGATTTAAAAATAAAAAAAAGTCAACAGCTGCACCGTGTGTGTCTCCGTCAGGTCGCTCATCCCTCCATCCGGTCTCAGTTGTTAGGTTACATCAACAACGGCTTCCTGGTGCCTGTCCTGGCTCCAGCTCTGCACAAGGTAGCAACACACACTGGGTTCTGTACTTCCTGAGCTGCTGGTGCAGACACGGGTTTGGCCACATGGTGCTCACCAGCACTGGAAGAAGCATTCAGATGTTTTATTTGAGTGAAAAAGGTTACTATGTACTTACGTACGCATGCGCCGCGCGGAGCGGCAGCAAATTATAGCAGCTGTGTCCTCGTTGTGTTCTTTTCCATGTTTTTATGAAGTTCTGTTCTTATGGTGTTATGTTGGTTGGTGTCTCTTGCTGCTGTAACACAGAAATTTCCCCACTATAGGATCAATAAAGTACCTACTCTACTCAAAAAGTCCAACATTCAAATTTTCACTTTAATATATTCACAATATTGTATTAACAACAAAATGTCATTGAAGTCAAAAGTAAAAGTTCTCATGAGGCAGCAAAACAAGGTCCATCAGTTATATAACAGTATTTCATGCTGTAGCTGATCAAAGTTAATTTTCACTTTATACAGTGTTTTACAGTTTAATTTGTAATTTCAGTCATTTTTTGTGTAAAACCTTCAGAGTAACCAACATCAAACACACCCTAACTTTAGTAATAACTGTAGAGTGGAAGTAAAAATAAAATATATTTACAAGTACCACAAATTGTTTTTATGTAAATTATTTGAGTAAATTGTACTTCTCACCTCAACTACAGTCAAACTATTGCATTTGTCAAGTAACAGCAGGCAGGACATGCAGTGACCACTAGAGGGCAGAAGATCCAGATGTGAAGTTCACTTGTGTTTCCAACAGGATCTACATACAGCAATACTTCAGTCTGTTCACTGAATACCTTCCTATTCATGCATGTTTACCTAAATACATATGTGTAGCTGACAGTGGAGGAGGTGATGGCCACCACGGCGTACCTGGATCTGTTCCTGCGCTCCATCTCTGAGCCCGCCCTCCTCCAGACCTTCCTGTCCTTCATCCTGCTGCACACACACGACAACGTGTACATCCTGGACACGCTGGTCAGCAGGGTCAACACACCTTTCCAGGTGAGGAATACTGTGTGCACGTCTTCCTGCCATCTGCAGTTGATTCCTGACACATGACCTGTCCTTTCACCTTGTGTGTCCATCAGCTGGGTACAGTGTCCCTGGCTCTGTTCAGGACTCTGATTGGCCTCTTCTGTGAAGATGTCATGCTGCAGCTGGTGTTCAGGTCGGTCTGACGGGGTCAAAGGTCAAATGGACTTTGATCAAATTGGTTCATGGAGCACACACACACACACTACTAATTCCTGTAAGCTGATTCAGCTGTTTTGAAAATCTGGTGGTGGTTTACCAGGACAGTTCTTATTTGTGCAAAAAGGAGCAGAAGATATGGATGAAAAACAAATTCATAAAACACAAAAACATTTGAGATAATTTATGCTAACATTAATAAAAACAGCCAGAAAAAATCTTGATTGTTACACAAAAATAAAGCCTCATATTTAACGTTATAGGGACCAGATCCACGGTGATATTAAAATTAGTGCCATGCATTCTGCACCAAGCTCAGGGTTATAGACAGTGTCACAGAGGTTACTAGTATAAATATACTCTAATATTTTCCCACAAGGATGCATGTATGAATATATAAGCTATTAACAAAAGCTTGTGTTGCAGCTGTAATAGGGGAGATGTGTTAGCTAGTGTGCTACTCAGACGTCTGTGCTTGTAAACTGAGCAGATACTATAGTTAGAAAGCAACATGACACAATCTAAACCAAGCAGGTCAGCTGTGAATGTATTGTGACATTACTGTACCAGCACAAGAGGCAACGTTAGCACCTGAAGCAAAACCAGAGCGGCCTTGTAGAAAGTCCGGAACCTGATGTTAAAGATAATTTCAATTTTCTTCCTGCCTTATGTCATCACAGTGACACATGCAGTGTCTTTGTGTCCTCAGGTATTTGATCCCCTGCAGCCACATGAGCAGAAAGCAGCGCTCCTCCTTAAAGCAAAGAGACTGCTACTCCTCCAGTGCCGCCTCCTTCCTGCTCCTCATGCCATCTTGGTGTCCCGTGCACCTCCACAACACAAACTCACACTCTGAGCACATCCTCTGGCCTCAAAGGGCAGGTCAGTCCAACTAACAGGCACACGTAAATCCTCTCCAGCACGTATACTGTAGATACCAACTTAAATTCTCTGTCAGATTTGTCAGTATCAGACAGTGTCGGTTACCGTCGGGGGTCAGACTTTCTGATGGATGTAAACTACCTGCACTACCTCTGGGATGCCCGCCAGGACGTTTCCACATCCCTCAGGTCAGTGTGCTTGACGTTTTGTTCCTCTGGACTGGACTATGGATCAACTGGTGCTTTTGCACATCAGACCAGGATTAGGGACATTTATATCGTTCTATTTCTCACCCAATGTGGTGCAAGGAGAGGAAAGGTGGATTAAGAAAGAACAGGGTAACACTCACCAGTTTCATTGTAGGGATATGGTGAATTCCCCAGGAAACAGCTTTGCAAAGGAGTCCTCACTACATCAGAGTGACAGAGCAAACCAAGCTTCCCGAAGCCGACTCACTGAGAAGCAGTGTATTGATGCCATCTGCTGGACAACCTCTGGTATTGCATTTGCAGAGAAGGATAAATGCGCATTAGGTTCTACTTTCAAATACTGGCAGACAAGCACAACTGGCAGCAGAAGCAAGTGTGACACCACTGTGATGTAAACAAGGCCTTGATTGTTTGTTGAAACAAGGCATTGAAATGTTCTGCTCTGAAAGGCTGAAACTGTGTTAAGAAGCCTACCATGAGGCGGCGGGGGCGACTGTGGTTCAGTGGGTAGAGCAGTTGTTTCCCAACCAGAGAGTCAGAGGTTCAAATCTCAGTGCCTGCAATCCACATGTTGAAGTGTCCTTGGGCAAGACATTGAACCCCCAAGTTGCTAGTGGTTAGAGCCATTGTGAGTGTGAGTCGTGTGAGTCGGCGCCACAGATGGCTGCCTCGGTTCTGTACTGGAAACAAATTCCTTGTGTGTAACATACTTGGCCAAATAAAGGTGATTATCCTTATTATTATTACCATCCTTATTATGAGCATATCACCATTCCCAGATCTGTATGGAAACCATTCAGGAGTCGAACCACCAACTTGCTGGTCAGGAGACGACTGCCCCACCTCGTGAGCCACAGCCACCCCAAGGAAGGAAAATATAGGAAAAAAACTGGAACAGTTCTTTAACAAATTAGGATACAAACAAGACTAAGAGTCCACATCTTGATGACACTCAGATTGGAATAACAAATATTTTTTTAATGAGTTCTACTTTCCTGCAGGGCATGTCGCCTCTGGTCGGCTCCGTATAATGGGATTGACCCCCCGCCTGAAGAACACCGATCACACACACCAGGGTACGACACAGAAGATGAGGAAGAGATTGTGCAGCGAGTCAGGTGCGACTTCAGCCGCTCTTTGGTCACATCTCCTCTCCCCTCAGCCCTCTCCCCGACCCAGTCCTCGTCAGATACCACCTTAATGGGCAACCAGGCAAGAACAGCCAGCTCTGCCCTGGACCTGGAGTGGGATGACATGTTTGCAGATGAAGATCCCTCTTTATTCATGGTTAGAAACACAACAGTAGCAAATGGTGGTGGAACTGTGAATACATCTACACCTGCACCTCCCCCACTGCCTCCTCGACACATCCAAGAAATGCGACATACTGCAACCAAACTGGTGCAGGGGTCATATGTAGAAGAATCTGAGTTTCAGGATGATGTTCTTGTCTATGATCTTGTTGCCCAGGAAGACACTAAGGCAGCAATTGTGGCGCAGATCATGGCAGTGAATCGACACCACGGAAGCCTTGCAAATGATCGACGAGTGTCAACTGGGCAGACAGTGATGGAAACAGTTAATAGCATTATGTCAACAATGAGGAGCGAGGACGGAGGGAACGAGGAAAGGAGAAGGAGTGAGGATTATGTGAAGACAAGGATGAGTGAGGACTGGGAAAAGGAGACAGGGAGAAGGAAGGAGGAAGTAGATGAGAAAAACTGTGTAGCTCCACAAGGAGAGCTGAAGGGACGTCAGTGTTTCAATGGTTTTAATGCAAAGAACTGCATCATCGACGAAGGTGATGATACTGATCCTGTCTACAAGCCATTGAAGCAAAACTGCAACCTGAGTGGCTTCGCAACCATTATCAATTACACTCAAACACAAAAGCTGCATATACATCACAACACACAACAACCTACATCGTGTTTACCCAAAGACCACTCTGAACCTGAGCCACATGATGCTTCAGCGCCTGATCCCAAATCTCAAAGTCTACCTGAGAATGAAGTCACCAATAACAATGACTTCCTGTCCCAGTACCATGAACTTATGCTCTCTCTGGGGATGGAGCCAGACTGTGATGACATCACAGACATTAACACATTCAGGAAACGGGTCCAAGCACTGAAACAAAAACTGGATGAGGAGTTCTGCGAAGAATTAGCTTTCACCTCCATGTGGGATGATGGAGAGATGGAACGAGAGGAAGACGAGGTGGAAGAGGAAGAAGAAGAAAGGAGCAATAAGAAAGGCAGCAGGAGGCATGGAGTTCCATTTACAGGTGGGTGTTTTCAACAACAAGTGCATCAGATGTTTGCAAAAGCTTAGTGAAACAAAAAACATCCATCAGAAAAATTAAAAGCAGCCTTGCTGTTGTGCAAGGGCTTGGTTACACAAATAAATTAATATGGTGTGTTGTCAGAAAGTAAAAGCATTGCACATTACTTCAACATGATTTAAAAATGTAAGTGAAATGATTATTTTACAGAAACACAATGACTAACTTGTGGTTTTCCGTGGTGCCCAGGTCCGTTTATCAGCGTCCTGTTGTCCCGGCTCGAGAACCTTCTGGAAAACTCCATTGCTGTGAACCTGCTGGTGACAGGCATTCTGGCCCAGCTGGTGTCGTACCCGCAACCACTGCTGAAATTCTTCTTGCTCAGCACAGACTCAACACATATCCAGCCCAACGTACGCACCTTGTACCAGGTACACACACGCCTTATACACTACCAGTCAAAGGTTTGGACACACTTCCCCACTGAATTGAATGTGATTTGATTTTTTACTGCATCGTTACAGATATCTATGTGATAATGTGCTACCTTTATTCCTGTGTACGCCTCTGTAGGTGCTGGTGTCGGTGCATGCTCAGATTGAGCGCTACATGGTGGCCAGACCGGACTATCCTGCTCTGGTCACTCAGGCCTGGAGGTTCTTGTTGGCTAAAGACCAAGACAGCAAGTTTAGAGGTTAGTGCACACATGCAAACAGGATGTGAAGCCCTGAAGCTGAAAGTTTTAGTTCCTTAATTCTGTGGTAAATTTTAACTCTGCACCAGTCTGCCATTAGCCAAGTAGTACTATTAACTGCAGTAGTAGTTACAGCGGGAGCATTAATACATTTATCATTGGAAATATGTTTCTTTGCTTTCTTACCAAGAGGCAGATGAGGAGATCTCTGCCACTGTCATACTGTATCCATCTGCTCAATATGAAGTTACAGCCAACAGGTGATTAGCAACAACACCAGGAAGTCATTGCTTCTGGCCAAGACATCGTCCTGCACACAACCTGCTGGAAAAGGACAACTTGTCATTTTTACACCTGGGTTTTTGTATGGTTGAAAAAACATGCTATATAATATGTTAATCTGAGTTTTTGAAGCACTGGTAGGCAGGTACTGGACAGGGCCTGTTGAACTGCTTCCCCTGTTTCCAGTAGTTATGCTAAGCTAATGAGAGAGTGGTATAAAAGTATTACTTTTGTGTCTGCAGTGATCATATCTAGAGGCAGAAGTATTAACCATGAGCTGTAAATCCCTTGAACAGCCTCAACAGATCCATCATTGGAAAGGAGGGAATTTCAGGCCCTGTTTAACCTAACAGTGACTTCCTTTGATACGTTTACTGCCTCATTTGATATGATGGCGTAATATTTCCCATGTCTCTCTCAGAGTGCCTCCAGTCTCAGAGTGGCGACACCAACCTGGACCCTTCTCTTCCTAATGGCTGTGTGAGGAACACTCTGGCCCCGCCTCCTCTTGGCGTCTTGCTGCCCTGCCCTGCTATTCCCCCACAGGACAAGAGCCGAGTGTTCGCCATTGTCCTGTATGCCGAGTTTCTGAAAGAGCTAGCCGCCATCGCCCAGGAGCACAGCATCGCGCTGGACTGTGCTGGAGACTAGTCGTCGTTGGTTTAAAATGCAAGTCCACCTCTAAACACCTGCTGGAAATGGCTGCCGATGTGCCCATGAGCAAGGCACTGCCAAGAATGTGTCAGTAAAGCTGACACAGTAAAGTAAAAGTAAATCAGTGGCCACCAGCAGAAGAATGAAGGCTCCTAAAAGTCTGAGCACAAAACATGCAACACACTGATATTAGTTTATCCACTAATTTAAGTGGATATTACAGATAAATACTGTCGTGTGCACATTGTCTAATCCTGGCAGCACTTGAACTTTTGATATTTTCCCCGTGTGAATATGGATATTTATAAAATGATTTGGAGATTTTGAAGTGTTTAGTTTTCTACACATTTGTGGGAACGGTGCAAATAGTTTTCTACAGTTTTCTGAAATCTTCACTTATTTTCTAAGGAAAAACTAGTTTTATTTTAAACGGCAGAGGTGAAGTACAACCACGAGTTCATTTAATGAGGCCACACTAAACTGACTGAACACTAAACCCAGACACAGAGCTGGTGATTACTTCTGCACCTTGTATTTAATTATCACTTATTATTACAATTATTATCATTATGGTGTTTTGCTACTGTTACTTGCATTTAAAGAAGCACCAGGTTTTGTATGTCCAGTCTTTCCTTCTTTAAATCTTTTTGAACTGCACTGTATGAAACTTTAATGCTGAAATGAAAGATGAATCTCTGGGACCAGCTGTTCCTGTTTTATGCACACAGTAATGACAAAGCCTTACGTCAAATACAGCAAATATTTTAAACTATTTTTCAGTTTTAAACTTCTATTAATGTGTGCTCCATTGCTGATGCATTACAATTCAAATGTTTCTATTTCTGACATGTAAGAAGACAAGGCTGCTATGTTTCTTTGTCCAATGTGGGGATGTGAGAAGGAAATGCGAAAAACAGTGAATCTGAACGTTACAGGTGGCTAATGCAAACGAAAATGCTGTCGCCTTATTTAGTAATAAGGTATGAAAAAGCTCAGCGGGTGAGTCGACAGAAACCACAACCCAGTGTCTTCAAGCAAAACTGACCTCAAAGTGCATCTGAGCAACGTCTGATGTGATCTTCAAGCAAAACTGACCTCAAAGTGCGTCTGAGCAACGTCTGATGTGAATGTGGTGTTCACACAAGAACCAGGACACTTTTCTCCTGTTGGCAGCCCCTCATCTTTCCTTTTGAAATAAATGATTTCCTATATGAAATTTATTAAACTGATCTTGTCTGAATGCATCATACCATTCGTTTCCTTCATTTTGTATTTCAGAGGCACCTAAATGTAAAAGTGGCATGAAACCTCTACAACAGGTTTCCAATGCATCATGTCTGTTCTGTGTACCACCCTCTGCTACCAGCCTCTGTGCATATAGATGCACACTGCATTTACAAAAAAACTCAAATCTCGTAATTATGAAAAACCTTATGAGATGTTCAGCCAGTGATGAATGAACACAGGTTTAAAGTAATTCAGTTACTTGTCTGTGCACGCGAAGGCATATCACAAAAAACCTGCTACTGTAAGAGCTAATCTGGTGTATTAATGTTTCACATCACAAATAAATATATAAGATAGAAATGGGGCCAAACCACAGGATATATCTGACATTATTGTACTTCCTGTTTCTTGTAAGTGTTTAAACTGTGGTCTGAATTGTTATGAAGAGTCAGCACAATCACAGTTTTTAATCCTCAAAAGTTACATCACAGTGTGGCGATTATCACAAGCAGAAACTACTGATGGTTGTTGGAAAGAAAACTGATGGTCTAAATTTTATAAGTCAAATGTTGGTAATATTTTTAAAACAAAATATGTCCCAAATTATGCAGCTTGAAATCATCCAGTAAGCCACAATGAAATCAAATCTGTTGTATGAATAGACCTTCAAAAATAAAAACCAAAACCTCTTCATCTCAAGTTACATACGTATTAATATCTGAGCCCCTCTAACAACTCTCATCCACTGAACTGATGAAGGCTTTCTGCCTGTGCTGCCTCCCAGACCTGCTGTTTCGAGATGTACTGCCACCCTCCCTCAAAGAGCTTTCTTTGCAGTACTGGCTGAGCCATCAAGTCTGCGGCTGTGACTGTTTTCCTAGAACTGTGGTCAGCTGGTTCCTCTATTGACAGACTGAATATACTTTAGACCCTGTCTCAGATGTGAGGTGACTGACGGCAGAAACGCAGTAGCAGCTATCGATCCGATCGGAGATACTTTGGTGGTGTTTCACCTGAAGTTTAGAGGTGAAGAAGAAGACAGCGACAGAAGGTGATGATGGTTTACCTGCTTGTGGGGGTTCTCGGTGAGTCTCGACTGTGGTTTGTTACATTGACATTGAAATGTGCATCTTGACAGGGTGTCTGTCACTCAATCTGGTAACTATGGAAAAAAAAGAAAAAGGTAATTATCTGATCAACACGACTTCAAACTGAACGTTAAAGTCAAATTGAGTCAAGAAAAGGACGAACATCCAAGCTTCAGCTGATTTCTGTTTCTCATGTTGTGCCCTCTTCATGTCAGTATTATTGGTACCTGCTTTTACATGAACCACAATTCAATACCTTTAAAAATCAGTTTGTGATTATCCACTGCCGTTCATTTATAAACAGCACAGAAAGCATCTTAAAAGGTAATCTGCGATAGAATGAGAGGCTACAGAAAATAACCTGAAACTAACAGCTCTGCCTTACATGCTACTAGCTCCTCCTGCCACCTAGCCCAGGGTAGAAGAAGGTTTTTCAGCCACCAGTAGTCATGTCAAACACCCTGAGAAGTAAAAACCAACCTTCCACTGAACTGCTCACTACTTCTAGACATTTATCCTGTGACAAAGGGTCACGAGTAGACCTTACCTTGTATCAAGGGGTCACAAGTAAAATACAAGTAATTGCACAATTTGTTGTATTTTTCTAAATTTTAACTCTTCTTTCTGTCTTTTATTCCCTTTAGCTGCCACAGTCACTTTATTGAAGGGAAATTATGATGTTTACGACTATGGCTCTGAAAGTGGCTCTTCTGAAAGTGGCTATGATCCGGACGATGCCGAAAATGATTCATACATTACACATGACCTGTATCCTACCCCCTCTTCAGGTATCAACTGTGTTGGGCAGCAACAAGGCCTAACATTAATTTCACCCAATGTGCATATAATGTGAAAGTTCTTATGGCATGAGCATGTTCCTGTTTGGGCTTTAACCAGCCAAACCAAAACACGAGAGCAAGAGTGTAAGGAATTCAAGTGTATTTCTTTGTCCTAATGTAAGCTGCATATTCGTAGCCATTTCTGGCTCTTTAAGGAATTTGAGGCTCGAACTAAAACTCTGCCAGACGAGTTCGTATCCTCAAAACCGTTTTCCTAGTAACTTTAAAAGTCAAGTGCATATCCACCCAATGTTTATCGTACTCTAATATAGGAGCTTACCAACTGCTAACCAGCCAAACAGCATAGAAATTACTTCCATATTGCTCGATTCCACACATCACCATTTCAACCAAGTGGTTTACCTTATGTTTATCTGGCACACCCACAGATCATGATCACTGTCACATAACCACACTACAATTGACATAAAAAGAACAGTTTCTTTAAAAAAAAAACAATCAACACTGGATGTAAAAACTTCTTCCCAGAGTGCCATCCAGTATCTACATCCTTATCTTGGGTTTAACCAAGTATCACATATGACACAAGAGGCTTTAAACGTCCTTCAAATAGTACAGACTTGGAGGAAATGTTGACTGCTATATTTTAATGGCTACCTGTTCTTCCTCGACAGCTGCAGCCTACTCCACCACCACCACCGGTGATGACGTCTTCTCTAACGCACCTTGTCTGGCCTTTGCCCTCCTAGTTCTGTGCATGTTCACATATTAAAAGCATTCTACCATGTTTGTTGATGACATTTTGCTGAAATGTGTAAGTGTAAATCACTTTCAGTATCTGGTTGGGGAAGATGATTTTTATCTGTAGTAACTGTGGAGTCATGGATGTTATGTGATGTTACTGCTGAAACCACAAATTAAAGCGCCTTTCTCAGAGAACTACAAAACTGTTGCTTCAGGTTGGAGTAGTTATGATTTCAAAATGGTAATTTATAGTTAGTTTTTTTTTATTCACCTACATTTATCTGCAATTTTGAGTATTTCCTCTTCTATTTCATACCTGGACTTTTACTGCACAACATGCATTTAATAACTTTAGTTACTTTTCAGAGTCAGACCAATAAAATAAACCTTAGAACCATCAGACTCTATTGATCCCGGTGGGAAATCCACCCGCTACCCAGTAGGAGGGAAAGTACTTCACAGTACAAGTATATACGGTAGTTACCATCAGCTCCACCTTTACCAGCTGCAGCATTAAAGTGATGGACACAGTAATTAGTCACTATGATCCAGTATCAGAGACGTTACTGGGACACGGGATGTTCTGCAGGACGAGTACTTTTGCTACTTCAAGTATATTGTAAGGCTAATACTTTTGCACATTTACTTAATATTTTGAATGCAGGACTTTTTTAACAGAGTACTTTAACACTCGTACTGCTACTATAAGTAAGGGACCTCAGTACTTCTGCCACTAAACATGAGGATAGATCTTAAAGTATCACTTGCTGCAGCTGCTGTACACTTTGGCCATTTATCTAAGGAAAGCATAAAAACACCAAGAGGTTTGATTTTCTCAACTTGAGAAGCATGAAAGGACCTGAGGTCAGAAAAACCTTCAAAAATACATATTACAAAATGGGAAAAGGAAGCACTAAAACCTGGTTTTCAAGCCACTTTGTCATTTTAAAAAGTAATGAGAAGGGCCTTCATGTTATAGGTCATCAGTACCGTAAAGCCTGTTTGCACATGGGGCACAGTGAGCATTCGTTCTAAAAAAGCATCATGTGCTACTGAGGTAACCGAGCTAACATCCTGTGTCGATCTGGAGCCACTGCTGTGGTTGATGACTCAGTTCCTCAGTACTGACTGATACTGAGAGAGAGTCTGTGGGTAGAGAGACACAGAGAGCGTAGGGGAGAGAGACTGAAAGTCGTGGGGGGTAATATGCTGAGAAATAACAGGGAGGGGTGGGGGGATTAGGGCAGAGAAATCAAGAGACAGTACTGTAGTAGGTGGACACAAATAAAGAGGATGAAGAAACAGTGGGAGGAAAGATGTAAAAATAACCAGGGAAAGAAGAAAACACTGCCAAAAGTATGTGGACAATTGAACATTAAACCCATATGATTGCTGCAGGTCCAAAACTATGGTCTGTCCAGGAAGTTCACTCAGCAGCATCCAAACCGGCTTCTGTCCTGGGCTGGGGGCTGTCATTTTGAACCATCATGGGGTTTTCCCTAAAACTGTTGCTACTCTGTCATCTACATTAACATCGTCTGCAGCAGCAGGACGTCACAGGAACTGAGAGGCTACAGTCCAAAGAACTGTTCTGTGTCCACATACAAGTAGAATGTAACTAAGAGCTAAAGCTAAACTTTACCAAAGTGCCGCCATACAGAGTAAACTACTGGAGTACTTCTATTACATGCCAGTACTCCAGTATAGTTCGAGCAAACTGAAGTATTTTTTGTTCGTCATTTTAAAAATGTGAAATTAAACTGCAGACCAGCATAAGAATAAATAAAACAATGAAAATGATTGTTGGGTTTTACATGGTGCAGCTTGACACTCCTCTGGAAACCAACAAATGTTTAACATCAACACCTAACTAAACTCAAGTGTGACCTCTGTAACCTTGTCCCTATTTTACCTGTAATTAGTACCAGATTACATTATTATTAATATTAAGAAATGACAGACCTTTAAAATAAAGTGTTACTGTGTACGGTGTACTATGTCAGAAGAGAGTAAAGCAAAGAAGGAAGACTCAAAAAGAGCAAGGAGGATGAAAGAGTTACAGAAAGACAACAGAGAGAGGGGGAAGAGATAGAAGAGAGGAAAGGCTGAGAGACAACGTGAGAGAGGAAGAGAGGAAAGGCTGAGAGACAACGTGAGAGAGGAAGAGAGCGAGCACTCAGGAGAAAGCTCAGAGAGAAGAAGTGAGAGCAGAGGTAGAAGGAAAGTCGTGGAAACAGGAACGCCATAAATAAAACCAAGAGGAACTCGGCAGCCTGGTCAATGATCAGCCACCATCTTTAAGTAAATCAGAGCGAGTGAGACGAGGACAGAGAGACAAGGACAGAGAGCGAGAAGCCAAGTCATCACCACGATGAAGATGTGGAGTCGCCTCTGCTTCCTCGGTGAGTTTGACTGCCCTCACACTTTACACCTGCTTATGTTGTTTTCTATAGACACTTTATTTCTAAAAGACAAAGCAAAAAAGAAGTGCTACATTTGTGAGATCAGGACTCCCGCGCTCACTCACACTCCAGAATCAAAACTGTCAAAGCTCAAGTTCAAACCGTTTTCACATCCGTTGAATCAAACGCTGCTACAAGCCTTGTGGTTTCATGCCTGATCGTGTCTATATATGTAAATGTATATATATATGTATATATAAAATCTCTATTTCAGCTGACAATGTATTCACCAGGGTTTTCAAGGCCTTGATTTTGTCTTACATGAGCTTGAATTACTTTGAGTTCACTTAAGGACTCAGGAAACCCTGCCACATGCAGGAAGTAATACAACACACACAAATGCCACTATCAGTGAGAATTACAAGAAATTTGAACTTATAACAGAAATAAAGAAAAAGTAAATCTACAGGTTTCTAATAAATTAACTTTCCAGTGTAGGTGGAAGGTTTATTTAAAGTGAGGTACCGTTTTCTCATTTAATTCCACCTTAAATGTGCAAAATGGGTCCAGATGTACCAGCCTTTTCTAAGACACTGTGTCCTAATGTAAATATTCCTCAACTATAAAAATCCCTGTACAAGGGCATAAGGAAATCTCATCCATATATTTTGTAATAAACGTTTACAAGCCATAGAAAAGAAGATGTGTGCAGATGTTTTAGTGCTTCAGGTCCCAAATCAGCGACGCTATAAATAGGTCACAGTATGTGGACTAAACAACTATGTGATCTTTTGTCAGCCCTGTCCCGCCCTCCTCAAACCCCTTCTCACATCTTCACACCATCATTCGTCTTGTCTTCACACATGTGACAATGTGTTGCAGCAGCAGCTCTGTGAAGTAAAACTCACACCTTAGCAGTCAACAAGGAAACCTGTGTCCAAATTAAAGTTCGGTTACGTTGTTTTCTTGGCTAACACACATTAGCTTACACTGGCCAGAATCTGAGTGATTAAAATACATTTTAGTTTTGTAATGCTAAGTTTAAGGCCATCTTGAAGTGGCATGTTCATCGTCTACCTGCACAGGTGCTCTCAGCTCCTCTGCCTGATTAATCCTTCACTTGTTTCTCTCTCCATCCATGTCTCTGCCCCAGTTCTGGTGGTTTCTTCTGTTTCTGGAGGACAAGAGGAGCAGTCACATAAAGGTACGGTGACAGACATGGTTAACAAGCAATGGGGTGTGTCCTGAACTGTACTCAAGTGGCTTCCAAACTTCATTTCCACTAGCAACAGCACAGTGATTGTCTAAAAGTTAAATCTTTAAAGCCATCATCCCTGTAGCTTTCACACTAACGTCAGGTTTCATCTGTTTCTGCCAACTCTGGTTCGGTCGTCTCAGTCATAAGAGCTGAGAGGATACAGTGGACTTTGGAGCTCTGTCTACACTACAACACTTCCTCACTAATTCGTAAACTGTATTCAAGTAAAAAGAACAAACCTAAACAAAACCTTGGTTTGTTTTGGGGCCATACTGGGAAGAACTGTTGTCCTGGACTGTCCTACTGTAGTTTACTACACTGTCCTGTCATAGTATCCTGTCCTGAACTACAGTGCACCGTGTACTGCACTGTCCCGTCTCAGAACCTACTTTCCTGTCCTATACTGTGACAGTAGTAGTAGTACTGTGACTGTCCTTAACTGTTGTTACTGTCCCGTCCTATACTACTACTACCTGTGTCATGATGAACTGTCCTGAGCCTATGCTTTGTAGTGGCCTCTCGTGTTTGTTGCATTGTGTGATTTATAGCTTTGTAGTGGCCTCTCGTGTTTGTTGTATTGTGTGATTTTGAATACTTTCATTTACTGCTACTAATTCCTTCGACTTCACTACATTTTACTGAAGAACATTGTACTTTTTACTACTAAATACATTTACTCAAGTACTATGCTTAAATGCAGTTTTGAATATTTTCATTTACTGCTACTAAATGCTTCGACTTCACTACATTTTACTGAAGAACATTGTACTTTTTACTCACTACATTGATTTGATAACTTCAGTTACTTTTCAGATTGAGATTAATTAACCAAAACGTACTATAAGACTTCACTGATGCCTGGTGCTACCCAGGAGGATGTAAAGTACTTCAAAGTATATAAAGTAGTTAACATTAGCTCCACCTTTACCAGCTGCAACACCGATGTGCACAATACTATGTCAAATACTTCTAGCCCAACATACATGAATGTGAACTGTGCCATTCTCAGTGAGTACTTTTACTTTTAGTACTTCAAGTATATTTTCTGCTAATATTTTTGTACTTTTAATTTAAATGTAGGAATTTTACTTGAGTATTTTTACACAGTGGCACTAGTATCTCATCCACCACGGGTATAACATGCTGCGATATGTTGGCATGCTGTGATGTCCTTTACTGCATCTGTACGAGTCCACATCTGTCCTCTTGATGTTTGGGACACATCTGGCTGACTGTGTCTCCTCTGTGTTGACCACAGACCCCACACCCCCTCCTTTAACAGCTGAAAGTGAAAAAAGAGATCCCCCCACACTGCCCACTGTGACTCAGACATCAGTGAATGGAACGGCTCTGCCTTCAGGATCCTCTACGGTAACAGCTCACGGCGCCCTGTGCCGCTCATCTGACTTTACCTCCACAGCACATGACCATCCAACAACCAGGAAACCACTTTCATAAACTGTCAGCATGGTGGTACAGCTAAACCCTGAGTGGTTTTTGTTATTCTCAAAGTGCAACACAATATCTAGCTTGGAAAACACACAACCCATCATCTGAAGCAGCATATTTAGTCAGTGTTAGATGAAGTACATGTATGTGACTACAGTTGGACCTGCTCTCGATGTAAGCTAGTTTAAAATACAACGGAGCAGAGAAAGCAGTTACCAGGAAACTGTGGTCTCCCTTTTTTACAGAGCCAAGAAGCACAGAACACAGTTACACACCACTCGGGCAACAAAATGAAGGGAACCAGTGGCGGCACAGTGGCAGATACAACGTTCGGCAACGTAACAGGAAGCACGAGCAATGTTACGTCTGCGGAGACGACAACAAGCAACCCAGGTACCGACTGCCACAGATGCAAACAGCAGCTTCACCACGTTGTGTGCCTCAGTTTGTCTTCCTGTGTGTCAAACCACAACTCTCACACAAACACATTCACCCTGTTCTAATAAACTGTCAGACACAGATGTTCACACTGGTCACGTTGCAGGCACACGTCCATTGTTAAAACTTTAAAAACATATATTTATATGTTTATAGCTGAAAAAATCATTTTGAAAACTGATTAATCACTTCACTAACATTTCCAGGCAAACCAACCTCATGCTTTTTTGGTTCCAAATGGGAGACATGCTGATTTTCTTTGTCATATGTAACTAAACAGGAAATGTTTGGGTTTTGGACCGTTGCTTGGCCAAAATCAGCTAAATGAAGACATCACCACGGGCTTCGTACAGTTAATCGTTAGCTACACTCCAAATATGATAAAACAAAGCTATAAATCAGTTTGAGAGTCATAGTCTTAACCCTTTCCTTTAACCAGAACTTCTCATACTTTAGTGACCTTCGATTTGTTTTAAACATTTCATATTGACAGCCTTTAGATTTGGCACTTCTCAGATATCTTCACACCTAAGAGCAGACTGTATGGGGTTGTATAAAGTTGTTCTGTTTTGAAAAGAAACCAGTTCTGCCATCAGTCCAACATGAATTTGATGTCTAACAGAGTTTTGTAGAGTAATCTGTCATCTAAACAGGGTTCCAGGTCTTTTTAATGCTGCACTGTACCAATTAGACTTCCACTGAGAGCACAGACAGTATCGGCCTTATGAAATGCAGATGATGTCAGATGGAATTTAAAACCAGCTCTTAATGAATAAAACGGGTCTCACAGCTGGAATCTGTTAACTGAGGCGACATTTAAACGGACTAAGTGATAAACATCGTAGTCTGTAAATGTATTCTCTTGTGCTCTCCTCTAAAGAGCAACAGTGATAAGACCATGACCTGACACTATTAGTTTGACCTACTGACCTGAACAGTAACCAGCTGTCTGTCTCTTTTAGCAACAGATAAAGACACAAGTACTCCATCCTGGGGTAAGGACAACATACTTTTATCACATTAAACTATCATGTTTACAGTCACACTAACCTCCATGTTCTACTCTATTTCCTACTCTATTTCCTGTTCTACTCTATTTACTCTTTTCCTCTATTTTCCATTCTCTTCTCCTTTTCACACCTTCTGCTACAACTACCAGACTTATACTTTTACATGATAGTTTATGGCGGTGAAACACAGTTGAGGTCCAGCCCCTTTTTAAAATTGGTTTCACAATTTTATTCAAACTCATTTCCCAAAGTCACCAAAAAGAAAATTAAACCTCACCCTGAGGTAAAGTCTTGCCAAACAATCTAGGGCTGCACACTTGGAGTAATCAAATTTATGTCCAACTGATCTGCTGTGTTTTTACTAATCACTCTTTC